CAATGTCAGCTTAAAAATCAAACAAGAATCGGTATAATCACTATTGCCAAACGGGGGCGATTTGGTTGATTATGCAGTTTGAAATTAATTTCCCCTCTCGACGCATAAAGACCAAAGTTCACAAGTCGCTTATCCGCTATGATCGGATACTCGTTGCAGAAGCGTTAAAGACTATGACACCTGATGAGTCTGAGCTAAGAATTTTTGGGAGAAAAGCTTTGGATAAGTTTAAGGTTGCCACCGTCAATGGAATAATAAACAGTTCAGCTGAAACCAATTACATACTCTTGATGCAATTACGTTTTTATATAGGGTTGCCACTTATTTTTAAAAATTTATATTGACCATAAGATTATAAGGTAAAGAATTGTGCTACAATATTTTATTTCATAGCTACAAATATATATAAAAAAAAAGCTTTTAATAAATCTTTTTAGGTTTTAGAAAAGCTGATCATTAAGTTATACGGATAGAGTTGCCACTTATTTTCAAATTTTTAAATTTTTAAATTTTTGAGTATAAATACGAAAATGACTAATTTGCTGAGAGTGTCACACTTTTAGAAATTAAAAGAAAAAAATCAACAGAGGTTGCCACCTTTTTGGAGCTTAATTTATACTGCAGCAAAGCGAATTCAGTCAATCAAAACTTTGCCCTTTTATGCATTTTCGTTCATAATCACATAGAGTCTTCACGCTTAGGTGTTCATATAAGCGATTTAAAAGATTTCTTTCCTAAAGAAGAGATTTTTCTTGCTGATATCATAAGCGCATTAAGAGAGCGGCAGTGAATACCTTCATGCTTCATGGGAACTTAAGTATTCTCTCGAGAGAACTGTTGCACGTCAACACTACTCATTGCCAGATCGTAAGTTTAAAAGTTCAAATGCTTCAGGATTTTTCGGGAGTCTACACTTACAAAAGGAGAGGGAGAGAGACGACAAGAATTTATATTTTACTCATGTAAAATATTGGTAGTCTCAAATAAAGTATATTTTTTTCTGAGTGTAAATAAATAAATGAAGTTTTTTTTTTTTAAATTATGGAAAGATAAAATTTTTTATGGCAACTCAATGCCACAAAACAACGAAATAAAATATTTTTTTTCCTTATTTAATCCACACACATATCTTTCGCTTTATTTCAGAGATTTTGGTTACTTTAACCCAAAAAAAAAGTCCAAAGCCTTGCAATTGAAATAAAAGTAAAACCTTTTGTAATTAAATTAAAAGTAGACAGACCATTAAGTCACATGACAACAGCACGCAAAAACTTAAAATTTATTTATTTTTATTACTTGAAAAACAAGCACTTGTTCTTCGCCGGTTAGCTACGGTCGTCTGCAGAGAAGTGAATGACTTCCTTCCTCAACATTAATGGCATTAGACCACGCGAACAAAAATCATAAAATTAGTGGCAAAGAGACTATCGAAAAAAATTTTTTTGTTTTAAGAAAAAGAAGCTGGAAGTTAAGTTTGTACAAATTTATGTAAAATTACAAAAAAAAAAATAACCAAAAATTCACATATGTATTGTTAACCTATGTATACAAACTTGTATGTACATAATGTATATATAATGCTCCAAAACCACGCTTGCGGCAGTAAATTCAACGTGATTCATCAACATTTATGTCCACATTGTTGGTCAACCACGCATGCATAACCCAAAATGTGATTCGCCAAGCCATGCCAAAACGACTAGCGACTAACCAACTGACTGAGCGGATGACTGAATGAATGCTTGACGCCAAACAATGCTAACTGAATTGGCTTAGCTGCGTGTGCATGAGACCGTGCGAAATTTCTGTGCGCATGCGCTAAGTACAATTACAATGGGTAATATACTCATATAAAAATATATAGAGACCCACATATATATAAGTAGATTGAAATTGAGTATTTTTTCTAGGCACGTCACGAAAATACGATTATTTTCGCATAGAAACTGAAATCGGCTTAAAAGAAAGACGCTGCTCAAGTTATCATATTACCTATGTACATATATAATATAATATTACATATGTACACATACTCGTATGAATATGGGAATACATAAATAAAAATATATTCACATCTTAAATGGTAATTAGATATTGCTCAAAAATAAAATAAGAATATAATCCAACTTTCAGCTCAAAGCTTTTGCGACTCTAAAATAAGCATTTGTTTTTTTTTATTTTTCTATTTATCTTATATTTTTCCAATTTTTTCTAACATCTTTAGCTCATTTGCGGCACCATGACTTCAGCGTCAAAACTTGTTTCAAATCTAAAGTTTTCAGCTCGTATTTATAAAAGGAAAATGATTACAGTACGTAAAAAAAAAATAAATAAAAAATAAAATTAGTGACTCGATAATTACACGCAAATCAGTCAAGTCAAAAATACATCACACAAAACGAGGTTCACAAAAGTGGCATCGAATTGAGCTTAGCGCCAAATGCTATAATAACATCTTTAACGCGTGTGAGTTGTGCTTTTTCGGTAATATGGTTAATTAGACACAATTTTATTCTTTGAGCTACCCAAAAATAGAGTTAATAACGCTAATTGGTTCGGCAATAGATATGAGAAAATCATGAAATTAGGAGAGAAAAAATATATTTAAAAAAAAAAAACTCTTATACACGGGGCAATATTAAAAAAAAAAAATAAATAGTTTTCAATATAATAAATAAAAATATATAATATCAAGAATGCAATATAAAACAAAAATTAAATAAACTAAAATATATAATTAAAAATAAAATAAATAAATCAAATTTATTACAATTAAATAAAAAAAAAAACTAAATTAATAAAAATTAAATAAATTTATAAACAAACATTAAGTTAAATAAAGTGAATAAAAAATAAAACGCAATAAATAAAATAAAAATTAAATAATAGAGTAAAATAAAGAACACAATGATATAAAAAAATTAAATAAAATAATATAAAATGGAAAAATAATAATATCAAACATATCTTATAAAAAAACAAAACTAATTTAAACTTTTATAAAAATAAAATAGACCAGACTAAGTTAAATATATTAATTTAAAAACGAACAAACAATAAATTAATCAAACATAAAATTATATCATATCAAATAAAATTAATAAAAAACAAGATATTACAAGGTAAATTATATAAAATATAAATAAAATTAAAAAAATAACAAAATGAAATAAAAATATATAAAAAAAGTTAAATACTATAAAAAATAAAATTAAATATTATGAAGTAAAATAAATTCATATATATCTTATAAAATAAAAAATAAATAAATAAATTAAATAATAATATGATAAAAACCTGAGCTGAAAAAAAATAAAATAATCAAAATTTAAATAAATTAGCTAATAAAATAATTTTATATAAAATAACATGAATAAAAAATAACATATTATCAACTTAAAAAAATTAAATAAACCAAAAATAATAATAAAGTAAAATCAAAAAAATTAAATTAAAAAAATAATAATAATTAAATATTAATTACTGTAATATTATATAAAATAATATAAAATAAGGTAATAAAAAATAAAAAAAATAACATATCTTAAAATATAATTAATGAAATGGCTTAAAAGAAAGTAAATCAAATTGATATAAATTACGTTAAATAAAAGAAATAAGTAATATGAAAATAAATTAAATAATAAAAAAATTTAAAACAAAAAAAAAAAAGTTTAATTAAATATTATGATATAGGATATAAAAATAATATATATAATTAAATAATGGTAAATTGGGTAAAACAAAAAGAGTAAAATAATTTAAATAAAAAAAAAAAAATTAAATAAAAAAATAAAAATAAAATAAAATTTTAAGATATCATATTAAAAAAATCACGAAATTAAAAAATTCAAATGCTTAAAAAAATAATAAACAATATATTAGTGGAAATAGTTAAATAATTTAATATATAATAAAATAAAATAAAATAAAATAAAATAAAATAAAATAAAATAAAATAAAATAAAATAAAATAAAATAAAATAAAATAAAATAAAATAAACTTAAAAAAAGTAAATAAAATAAAATAATTAAAATAAAACAAAAAATAATAATAAAGTAAAATCAAAAAAATTGAATTATAAAATAAAATAATTTAATATTAATTACTGTAGTGCTAAATAAAATAAAATAAAATAAGGCAATAAAAAATAAAATGCAGTAATATAACTTAAATTATAATTAATAAAATGGCTTAAAAGAATATAAAAATATAAAAATAAATAATAAAATAAATTATAAAAAAAAACAAATAAATATAAATTATGTCAAATAAAATAAATAAGTCATATGAAATTAAATTAGATTAAACATAATAAAAAATTCTAAAAAAAAATAAAAGCAAAATAAAAAATTTAATTAAATATTACAATATAGGATATAAAAACAATATATATAATCAAAAAATGGTAAATTGGGTAAAACAAAAAGAGTAAAATAATATAAATAAAAAAAAATTAAATAAAAAAATAAAAATAAAATAAAATTTAAAGATATCATATTAAAAAAATCACGAAATTAAAAAATTCAAATACTGAAAAAAATAATAAACAATATATTAGTGGAAAAAGTTTAACTTAAATAAATTAAAATTTAATAAAATAAAATTAAACAAAATAAATTAACATACAACCAATAGTAATTAATTATAATGTCAGTTACAGTAAAACAACGTGAGAAATATTAAAACTAAATTTAATGTGAGTCAAAATAAGCCAGAAAAAACTATAAAAATATCAAAATGAATTAAATTTTTTGAAAAAAAAAATTTTTTTTTGAACATTCCTTGTCTGAAGAAACTATCGCGTATGAATGCCACCAACTCAGTCTCAGCCATTGACAAAACATATAAAAATTAGTAAAAGGATCAGAAATATACAATTTCAATATTATGTGAGAACATATTGAAACCAAGAAGTTTGGTAAAACTCCTATAAAATATTAAAAAACGACTTACATACTTAACTATAAATAATTTTTATTTTAATGCATTTACTCACAATAGACAATGGACAAGATCTCGTTGCCTTCGCTGACTTGGTTACAGTTGCGTTGAACTTATCAATCAATGTGGTCATACCACTCAGTGCTGGAATACTACTTCTCCTCGATGCATTTGCATCCGAATCTACCATTGCATTGTCTGACGCCATTGCACCGGTTTTCGTCACCGCCGACGTCGAAGTCATTGTGGTGGCCATTGTACCCAATGTGCTACTTGTCGCCGGGCCAATTACACTATCGGCTTTTCCATTGACCGCAGTGGTGACACCATGACGATTTCGTCGTATCTTTGGTAAAATGAGGCGTACAATGAAACCGTAATTGGTGGGCGCACTCAGGATGCGTGTGCACAATTTACGCTTCTCGGCTAAAACGCCGGGCGCAAATTCAAGTATTAGACTAGATTCTTTGCCATCGCTCTCGATGTATTGCTCCTGTTGCACACTGCAGATTTGTTCGAAATTTGGATTGGTGAGGAAGTTGATATCTGCAGGTGAGAGAAAATATAAAATTAGATTACATGAGATTTTTTTTAACATGTAGTTTTTCATTTTTTATTTAGTAATAATCAAAACAAATGAATAATTTTCAAGTGGTATTTAATTGTTACGTGAATGGATATGCATATTCATTCATACTTCAAATCAAATCTTGACACAGAAAATTTGCTTAATTCTTATACGGGTATGTACGTACGAAAATAAATAAATGTGTGCCCAATCTCAATCTCTTTTCATCACATGTTCACTTAATAACACTTTCCGCAATTAGCACCACCCAAGCAACCGTGTCCAATGATGTAATTACTTACATAAATATGTTTTTATTATCAAGAATAATTACATTCATTTGCATGCATTTTCTACTTCACTTTTTATTTCATTTCACTTTAATAATTTTTTTTTTCAAAATATTCTTTTTTTAACTTACATTTTTCTGGGTCAAACAAAACACTGTTTATTCGCCTTCATGTTTATTTTTTATTTTTACATATGTACATATAATTAACGGCGTTCGTTGACAGCAATTACAAATCAATCCATCGTGTATCAATTATGACTTCGCAATGCATGTAAATACCTTTTATACATGAACATGCGCACAAGTGTGTTTACTTACAATTCGTAAGGATTTGCATAAATATTTGTCGTTCTAAAATTATTTGAAACGTGCTGTAGGTGTAAAAATATTTATCGTATTTGCCTTAGATTTTATTACTAATTCACTTTTCATCGGCTGTGTGTAATAATTTGAAGTAAACAAATAAAAAATCAAACAAAGGTGTGGAAATATAAAATATATAGTTCACTCCTTCACAACCGGATTTTATTAAAAATACGGCATACGAGTAAGTATTAATTTATATAATTTTACTTTGTTTTCCTACATTTTTTTTACATTTTTTTTATTAACAATACTTGAATTTTATGTTTTTTGTTTTATTTTTTTATTGTATTTTATTTTATATATTTACTTTTATTGCTTTATTTATTTTTATTAATTTTATTTTATTTCATTATATTTAATTTAATTTTATTTTATTTTATTTTATTTTATTTTATTTTATTTTATTTTATTTTATTTTATTTTATTTTATTTTATTTTATTTTATTTTATTTCGTTTAGGTTCGTTAATTTGGTGTTAAATCAACTATTTATATGTAAAATGGGCACAGATATAATTACAATCAATTGTAGGTGCCTTGTCATAATGAATAAGAAAAATTCCCATTTGCACCAGTTGTTATGCTCCATAATATATGTATATGCATTCATTTGTATTTGAAATCAATTGTGGCTTTGTAGTAAATAAATTCAAGCCTTTATTTGGCGTAAACCTTAAATTATATGCTTTTAATTTACACCTTTAATTCAATATTTTATTTATACATTTGTGCGCTCTAATGTATTTTCTTATCTAATTAACTCATAAATTTTTAGTTTTATCTGAATTTATTCAAAATTAGGGAAAATCTTATAACCCCTTTCTTGATACGAAGGCATCATATTTAAATTAATCGTATATATGTTTTCCAAATGTGTACATATGTACAAGCGTATAGGCACATACATATATACCTGAAGAAAAATAATTGAAAATTACCTCATTATAAAGGAAAATTTTCAATTTTGTGCCTAAGAAAATCATACATAATTATTGAAATTTTTATAACAAGAAAAATTGTGAGCTACTTGTGAGGAAACTATTTCCATATATATATGTATATATATATATATATATATATATATATATTTGTGCACTTGTTTACATTTGATCTATGGACATATGTATACATATATATCATTTTTGAGAGTTCTTAAGATTGAGTTTATGTATTGTATAAAGTCATAATTTCATAATATTTTGATTTGTGATAAAGAGCTTTAGATTTTAAGTGAAATTTTTATATTTTCTTCGTTTATGAAAATTTGTATTTTACATAAGTTTTAATGGCTTTCAGCAATTACAAATATCTTTTGTTGATAGTTTATCAAATTGGCATTTATTTATACTTTCACAATTGCAATTAGTTGCAACACGCCTACCTCTTTTATTGCAATTGCCTGCATGATCGACAGGGCAATACGACCAATTATACAATTGTGCACGCTGAGCATTAACATTGAACCTAATAAAAATTAAATTCCTATTTATCAAATTTAATCTTACTCACACATACATTACCAACTCATATTTACAGCCCAGACTTAAAATCGTGCAGTTAAGATAGAAAGGCCCAGTAGGAAATATTTTAAAGAACGATTAGAAATGAATTGAATTTTATGAAATTAAGTTTGTATTTTTTTACAATATTTCAAATCTAATTTAACTTTATTTCATTTATTTCATATTACTTTATTTTTAAACAATTTTTTTTTTTTGAATATTTTTTTATTTTATTTTTTTTTTTTTCCCTTTATTTTATTTAATTTAATTTTATTTTTATATTTTAATATATTTTGCTTGAATTAATTTTATAATTTTATTAATTTATGAAATTTAACTTATTTTGTTATTTTTATTTTTTATTTATTTTAATTTTTTTAGTTGAATATATTTTATTTAATTAAATTTTTTTATTATTATTATATTATATTTATTAATATATTTTAGTTATTTTATTTACTTTTATTGTTGTATATTAAACTTTACATAGATACATTTAGTTATTTTATTCTACATATTTTAATTTAATTTAATTTAGTCTTAGTTCATTGATTTTTTTTTACTGAGTTCTCAATTTAATTAGAATTCATTTTGTTTCATTTAATTTTTTTTAACTATAATTTTTTTTGTTTATTTTGTTTATTTTTATAATTTACTTTTTATTAATTTTAAAGTATTTTTTTAGTCTTTCGGATGTTGAATTTTTTCTATGTTGCCCGCACGCGTTTCTAAAAATACGAATTAAATAAATTAAATTGCTTAAGCTCGAGCAATAGTCATTGCAATATATTTTTAATTGGCGCCTATCCATTTTCCACACCGTTACTTTTTATATACTGGCATGTGTATGGAGAAACATTTGCTTATATGTTCGAACTGTATATGCTCATTCTTCATCTCTAAATCGCTTATCTTAATTTATAGTATTTTTTATTTGTTTATTTTTTTTTTTGCTGCAAATTGTTATTTTACTATAAGTGCTTCTCTGCTGCGCTTGTAATTGCTCGTTGTTGGAGCAATTCGATGTTAAAGGTTAGAGTATAAGTAAATTAATCAAACCGGCACTCACGCAGTCATCGCTTAGTTGTGTGTGTAGGATAGTTGGAGTCGTGCTTTCGCACATATATACTTTATAAGAAAATTACCAATTGGTTGCTTATTTATTTTCGCAACTGTGTATTGTTGTATTGAAGTGTCTTTTGTGCTCTCAGTAATGTCCAGGAATTCATGACAAAACGGTATTTGTTTCATTCTTTTTATAGAAAAAAAAAAATAAAAAACAATTACAATGAACCTTTCGCTTATAGACAATGCAATAAAATAGGTTCGATGTTAACAATGGCGTGAAGCGAACAGTTATTTATCTCACATCTGCGTATATTTGTTTAAATGAATGCAAATGTCCATTTATATATATATGCATTCATTGTAATTTTTATTATTTTTATTTATCCATATATTTATATGTACAAAAATATGTAAGCGGCGTTGCATGTTTTAATGAGGAAAATTCTGCAACATTGCAAATTGAATGCCAGGGTTAACTGAGGTCATTAGCTGGAGTTATTCCATATGAATTAATTAATTTTTAATTACGCGTTAAATATAAATGCTGATATGTAAACAAAATTTCCAGTTATAATTCTCTAACTATTTTTTTGGGGGCAACTATTTTATATTACGATTATTTTTTCTATTTGGTTATTCAATTAAATAAGTTTTATTATAATATATATATATAATATATATAAGGTCTTCTATTGACCTGCACTATTTTTTTCTTGTAAAAGACGGCTTTAGTGATCTTTATTTCGCGTTTAAACTACTCTCGATTTCGAACCGGTGGACTAAGCAAAGTATCGTCCACCATACACCATCCACCTTACGATCAAACTCTTAAACCGGACCTGTAATGTCGGTAATTCAAGGCAGCATTAAAGAGTGGAATTTTGTCTCATCAGGACAATGCCTAACAACTACATCGTTGGTTACTCGCCAGAAGCTCCGAGAGCTTGGTTTCTATGTTCTACTGCATTGTTGCTAATGGAGATAAACTTTTCTATGAGAGAGTCATAAACATTCCCTTTAAAATAGCAAAACCTTGCACATTTGAGACAAAAAGAATAATTTCAAATTTGGGACGGGATTGACTATGGATACACAAATGTTCTTTAAGATTGTTTGCATTTTATAAGGTTCAAAACCTGAAAACCCATATCACATCAACCGTATACTTTGTTTTATTAAACTTAAGCCAAACTTAAGCCAAAATTTTAATAGAAGACTATTTTTTGTTCCTCAAATTTCTATTCTTTTCATTTTTGAGTGAAGATCTGGGTCTTTCTTTAAACTTTTCGGAGAGATGGAGTCTCAATCTATCTCAGCTTCAATCATCGGGCTTCCTTGTCCAGCCTCGAGAGACCGAAACTGATTTAACCGTTTTATTTTCTCCTGTATTAGATTGTACTGTATCAAACAGTTTAGAGAGATTATTCCTGATTCTTACTGAGATTAGAGTCTGGCTCACCTTGAGCGGTATACTTTGTAGGAATATCAAGCGCACACACAGCAGCTTAGAAACACTTTATTTTTGTACTATTGAAGACTGCTGATCTGCGGTGCGAGCTATATGATGATATTGACATAGTTCAGCGAATAAAAAGTCAGCGGCCACGCTGGCTAGATCATGTCTTCTGAAGCTTTGAAAGTATTCGATGTAGTACCGACTCCTTTGAAAGGATTAGGTGAAGAACGATCTGGTTTCACTTGGTATTTCCAACTGGCGCCAAACAGCGAGAAGAAGAGATGAATGGAGCGCT